TCAGATTATCTGCCCTCTATGGGGTAAATATTTTAAACATCATGCTGGGTTTTAGCAGAAACTTCCCTATTAAAGTAAATGGGATCTAAGAGAGGATAAATGCAAGCACGCAGTACAGGGGTGTTAAACCTATAAATCTTCTGTATCTTATGCTTTGTGCTTTAATCACTGACAAAAGACAAGTGTTTGCTGCCTTTGTAAGGTTCCTAAAGCACAAAGGGAGGGTGTGTGCTCAGCACTGCTTCCTGTAGCACTGGCTGCAGTTACAGCTTGACAGCCCGAAGCAGGAAGGACACAGGGATTCCTCAGCTCCTCAGCGAAGGCTGCAGCTGCACAACGGGAGGAATCTGGCTTTCAAGGGGTAAGGAGTCCAGTTCACTCTGTGCCGAAGTTACAGTGATTAAACAGCATCTACTTTTAAGCCAGGAAGTATTTTAGCCAACAGCTACCTTACAGGCCCCTTCAAGGTTACTGAACATATATGAAGCAATTTTTCTGTAAATTTTGTCTTTTGCTCATATCAATCCCATCACAGGTGTGGTTGATAAGTACCTCAGTTTATGTAACAGCAAAGGCTGGGAAAGGCCCTTTCCTTAGGATACCTATCTTAAAACAAGTACCTTGAGTTTGAAAAAAAAAGCCTGCTCTCTCCAGTAGGCATTGTTTCACGGTTTAATACGATAAATGTAGCCTACATGTGCACGATATGTCTGGCAGCATTCTTTGTTACTTCACTAGATGGCGTGTGGCCGTGCCTGGCAGGGGAGAGAGAAGGGAGAAGAATTAATTCCCTGTGCAACTGGCTGCACTGCTCTCCTGCCTCTGATGTGCCTTTTAACAACGTGGGTCTACGAGTTAACATTTCAAGGGTGAGAACTGAACTTCCAGCATGAGCAATAAGATGTCCTGAAAACAGCTTCATTTTCAAAAAGCTGAAACTTTTGCCTGAAGAGTGCCCTTAAATCAGCAGTGGGGCAAGACTGGAGGAAAAGAGGTTTATTAGACCAATCTATTTCCTAGACAAAATATGCTTTCAGAGACCCAAGATCTTCAAATCTAAAAAACACCTAAAGAAGAGCTTATGTGTCTGCTTTCTACAATGTGGACAGCTGGTCTAGTAAAAGACCTTATCTCTTCCTATAAATTCTGCCATGCTTATAGCCTCACACCATTACTGCTGCAACACTGCTGGAAAAACATCCAAAACTTCATATGGTTCTTCAAAAGGCAAGTCATAAGGTTAATTTGTGCTCTCACTTTCCCTGGTGTATACCGTGGCATAGCTGTCCTCTTTTGTTCTTCTATTTATGCCTCTCACTTTGCAAAAGAACAAGACTGAGCTCTGCCCTGAGGCACTTCCTCTCCTGGGATAATGCAAAATCACCCTTGCCGGGCATTCGCAGTGCACGAGCAGTAACAATCTGCTCCTTTCTTGCTTGGGGATATAGGCATTAAATCTTCAAGGTCTCAGACGTGAATTGCAGAAGTAGCTGGATCCATTAAGGAGGTTACAGGCTCCCTAACACAAACACCAACAGTGAAGCTCGCCATGGCGAGGTTTGTTGGTGAGCACATCGGCTCTCTCTGCACCTTGGGGGCTGTGTGGTTTCACACTGGCCTAAGCTGACCTACAGCTGGGCTCCTGCCAAAAGGCAGCTCTCCCCCTCCTGTGACTCTTGTGCTCCTTTGGCTGTAGGGTCTGTGGCAGCAGGGGCTGGTTAGTCTCGATACAATCCTCCCCTCCTGGTTTTTTTCCCTTTTGGTAGGATTAGGTTTGCTGAACTGGCTGGTCAAATGGTTGGGTGGGCACTGGGACTGGCACAAGGAGATGGTCAGCGGTGCCAAGCTGGAAAGTGCAAGACTGGCCTTTCTGCCAGCAGCGTGGGCTGAGCCACCAGGAGCCAGAGGGCTATGCACCACAGTGGGCTTCTGCAGTGCCCGGCAAACTGCCCCAAATGCTGTTGGAGATTGGGGCAGGCCACTGCCTTAGGATGGGAGGCAAACATTCCTCTGCTCCTTTGAACACAGAGAAAAGGGGTTTCAAAACCATCTGTTAAAGAATGGTGCCATGAGGAAAACACATCTGATACACATGTAAGTGAGGGGTTTTCCTGTGGTATTTAGGCCTGAGGTGTTTACTGTTTTACCATCCAGCTATGCACCCAACTCACAAATGTATTCAGTGCAACACAAGCACCAGATTTAACACCTGCTACACCATGGCTATAGTTACAACAGCAGCTTATACCCTGGCTGTCTCAGCCACTAGTGCCACAACATGAGCAATGCTCTCTCCAAGGAGCAAAATTATGTCCAAAATCAAGTGTCTTCCTTTGTCGTTTACGGCTGATGGCTGTTCCTGATGGCAAAGTGTATTTGGTAGGTGCCTGGCTTGGGGGAGAGCATCTCATGAAGTGCCAGCGCTGCAGGTGCGTGGCAAGATATGCAGAAAAGGATCTAGTGCTCACAACTGACTAGGGAATCCAGGCAAACACTGGCAACCACCTGAACAAGAGGCCCCCTGGCATTCCCTGAAGCAAGAGCTCGTTTTTCCCTTGTGAGTCAGTGTGTGGCCCCTGTAAAATGAAGCTACATGGTAAGACAAGTTCTGCCAGGGTTAAGCCTCAGCAGCCTCTCCACTAACCCTCCCCTGAAGCAAAGGAAGTTTAAGGCAATAATGGGAGAGGAAAACCCGGGTCTTTGGGATGGCTTATAATCAGTTCTGAAGGAGAGCCAAGTTGCTACCCAACTTTCTTATGTATTTCTATGAAATGAACCTCGATTTCTTAGATCAGCTCACTCAGCTACCTCGGCCTCCAAGTGCAGTTGTCTTAGCAAACCATTTCCCCATGCCATCACTAAAATTTAGTAAGTCAAACTATCTGAAGGAACCCATAAAAAGCTGTGAATCCTTACTGTATATATTCCAAATAGCCTATGCTTTGAAAATCACTGTACATGCAACAATTCTCTGCAACACCAGTATCCCCTCAGCTCAGTCTCCTGGTCCTGGGTCCCACTCTGCTATTTCTTCACTTGGTCCCAATAGGCTACCAAGGTTTAAACCTGTCTGTCAGTATATTGTGTTTGAATTCCAGAATTGTTCATATATGTTTCTCCTTCTAGTAAACTTACAGCTATGAGTAAAGATCCCATTAAGAAACAACAGTTTGGGCTATAGAGAAATGCTGCCAACTACTGTAACAGGAAAACATTACAGCTCCCTTTTGCCCCCAAAATAACATTTTCTTGCTGTGGGTAAATAGCTATTCCAGTTCTCCCGGGGGCAATAATCATGGCCCTCTCTTTCTCCAAAGGCAGCATGCAGTCCTCCATCCAAGAGAGAAGCTCATTGCCACAATGCACGTCCAGACAGCATCGGCCTCTGCCCAAGAGTGAGGGTAGCAGAGGATGAGAAGACCGGCAGAGAGGGACATTCCAAGGAAGTCGCTCATGGACATAACAGAAGCTAAAAAAGCATTGCCCACCAGAACAGCACTCGAAGGACTTCATCTGGGCTCTTCTCTGCCTGGGAAGGGATCTTATTTGGTTTCTTAACCTTCTACTCCACATCCTAGAACCTGTAATTCTAAAAGTGAGTCAGTGTCTACAGTGATACAAGATGGCATGCGAGGATCCAGAGCCCTGGCTGTGTTTCATGCAGTGCCATCTCATTTCTGCATCTTGAGGCAAGTCTCCTTGCCTCTGCCATCTTCTTGCCTAGCTTTATTTCCCCTGCTGCTCAGGAAGGTCACAGGGCCCTGGGCCATAAACTGTGTGTTCAGAGCACCTAGCGAACAACAGGTTCCTTGAGCTGGGATTTCCAAGTACAAAATAAAATAACTGTAAACCAAGGAAAGTAATGCCATTTATCAAACTCAGTTATACCACAAAGAACAAATAAACAGAAACCGTAATCAGAAGTTAGTCCTTCACCTGTAGTCTGGTCTTAGTTTGTGTGAGTTTTGCCCTGAGGACCTCTTTCCTCATCAAAATGATCTTGATCTTCCTGATATTATCAAGGCGTCAACCTGTAGTAATTTCCAAGCAGCTACTCAAGATCCATTAGTATTAATCTACTTTGAGATGAACATTTGCCTCATAAGGCTTTACTCTGCTTCCTGCCTCACTGTTCATCAGTAAGATAACACCTGAGAAACAATGCTGGTGCTTAGAGCAAAAAATCAGGACAAGTGAATCCAATCCCAGCTTGGCCACTGACAAGAGACAAATCCATGTCCCTTTTGTTTTCCCTTTTCCTATCCGTAATGGGAGTAATACTGATATCTCTTATGGCAGAGGCACAACTACTTGTTTGTAGAACACTCTGAGATGATACAGCACATCTCAATAAGAGTACAAAGTGCTACGGGTGTTTCTAAAGAGTGTGATGTGTGTCCTAAACTAATCTGTTCTGATCTGACACTCTACACATCTGATCTCCTACCACAACTCTACTATAAAATAAGCTGTGTTTTGGGTGAACTGTTTATTAAATATGCAACCATGAAGTTAAAAAAAGCCTTTCAAAAGAGTCTGCTTGTTTTTAAATCACTGCATATTGCAGATTTGAGCTAATCTAAGAACAGCATATTATGGCCACAAGAAGAGTTCATAGAAGATTCTCCAACCTTTCTATTAGGTATGCATCATGTTAGTCCAATGCAGTCCAGACCTTTAGGGCTTCCAAGGGCCTAGAATCTGTGTAAGGTCTTTTGATCATGACAACAGCATGAACAAGTAGATTACATAACTGATGAGCTAGTCACATCTTGGTAGGCATAAAAGCATTTATTTTTTTGTCACCTAGCAATATGACAATGGATTATACCTGCTTCTTTCAAGTCTTGCTGCAAAATGTGCTTTGTCTGTGAATGCTCATCCAGTAACAAAGGGTGTACTGTAGAAGGGTACAGGCTCTGAATTACTACTGTAAGGTCCTGAGTCTGAGGCTGCAGATTGCCGCTGTCAGCAACAAAACTCGTTTAAGGTATACTCACCTCCCTTCATAGTCCAGGCTGTGCATTGCCACGTATTGCTGCACTTGACCTCCATCACGGTTTTGTCCTCTGCATCACTTCAGCAAAGTGACAGGATCTCCAGCACAAAGCAGGTCAGGTCTGGGATAGGTGTATTTGGTCAGGTCCTCAGCACTGTCTCCTCTTCAGCATCGTGGGGTGCCATGCAGTGTACACTGATACTTATCACTGACACAGCAGTGATCATGGAGCACTTCCACCCAGGTCCTGGGCACAGGGTCTGATTCCCCCTCTCTAGGTCTTCTGGACATATAGAAAAAGTGTATTATGTTCCTAGCAGACAATGATGAAGCACGAAATGCATTAAATATGTATCTGGCCTTGTACTATGCAATACCAGAGCCACAGCTGTCTGCAGCACACTGAGATACGCATGTCCTCTGCTTATCCAGAACTGCCCCATATTGTCTCTGCACATTACAGCTCAGCCTCTCCAGGGAACGCTGTGTTTGCTGTTATATTTGCACAGCAGCCAGCGCTTTGCTTTCTGGTCTATGAATGGTGCATCCAGAAATTTGCTGCTACAGTGGTGCATTTCAAAGAACATAATGCTGTCCTTTTCCCTGCTGTTTATTGTAATCCTAATTTCTGACAAACAAAAGAAATGAATTCTGGGAAATTTACCAACAGTCAAGAGCAGGGTAAGCAGGATGGCTTTACAATATGTACAGTGCTGTGTGTAGGGCTCAACAAAGCCTTCTACACTGGGCAGCTCACTCACACCAGGCCTGTAGACTGATGCATCTGTGATAAGAACAACAAACCTTATCAGTTCTGCAAATTGCAGCCACAGATCACAAAACTTCCAAACTAGCAACACAACAACCACATGGAAAGCTTATGACATTAAATACATGAAAGGAACGCCTCGGGACTATGAGAAGGAATTGAGTACCTTCAGCACAGAATGGGTAATCCTCAGGGGACTATTTAAAAATCAGTGACTAGTTATGCCTACTAGTTTAGTCAGTCAACAGAGACATCAAAAGTTTGTACAGATGAAGTTTTCTCAGGTACAGAACAGCAGAGCAAGACTTTCCTTTCTGATAAGTCACTTGGCTCTACCCTTGGGGCAGGAATCCTTCAGAGATGTCTTGGGGTTTCTTTTGTCATTTGATGGGTTTGCCTCTGACATATGAAATCATATGAGTAGATGGCTGAGGCAGGGCAGTAATACCAGATGCAGTTAGGATGTGTGTGGCAGGGTTTATTTCATGGCCATAACATGCAGCATGCTCCCTCTGCCCGCAGTTCACCCCCAGATGCTCTTGATCCAGGACCCAGGTGGAGATCGTGGGTGATCTATCCCTCAACTGCCTTACACATGCAGAGCTCAGGACTGCAGCCTGCACTGCCCTGGGGATGCCTGAGAGACAGACTGGGCTATTACTTTGTATATAAAGCATCCTGGCCCTTCCTCATGTTGCTTCCTTCCCTCCACCAGCCTCCTTCATTTCCATTCTGCAGTGTCCCCCATCCATCCCCTCCCTCCTTACCAATAGTTGCCCCTCAGCCCCAAAACCTGGCTGGAGCAGTGATGTAGACAGGGCTGTCAGCATAATGCAGAGGAACGGTGGCAAGAAGTGTTTATCTTACAATAAGGTAAACACTCTGCACCCTCTAGCTGTCTTATTACTGTTGGGACATGAGCTAAACTGTTCCAGCCAATTCGTCTTAGTCCTAGATACACGTTATGTGAAGGCAGGGCCTGAACACAGCAGAGAAACCTCTGATACGTAGTGTGCACTCAGGCAATGCCAGTTATGTGGGTAGAGTTCATTGAACAAATGTAGATGCTTAAATGGTAGGTGTCCATTTGGGAGTTAGTCACCCTAGGATGCCATTTTAAGTCAGAGAGAAATAGACACTTTTGGCATATGATAGAAATTTACGCTCAGTTGAGCTAAATTGTGTCTCATGAGCTCCTGCTTCTCCCTGCTGACAATATATGGAGTCAAGCACGAGTAGCTCACAGGTAAATGCCTGTACGACACACACCAAATGATGGGCGAGATCAATCACATTTTGTACAACTTAGTTTTGACACAGGGATGTTACATATTATGGGGCTGCTAGAAGGGAGCTTCGTAGGGTGCCTGGTGGGGCACACTCTGGCACGTAACTGCAGAGGCCAGGGAGCCAGACGCAGAGGAACAGAGAGACAGTGACAGACACAGCAAAACCCTTTGGGAACGTGGCTGCTGAAGCAACCATGACTTCATTAGACTTGCTCAAGATGCCCTCTAGCCTAGACCTTTCACCTCATTTAATGGTTTCTTGGCCTTAATCCCTTACAATTCTGAAATGAAAAAAAAAATTCTCTTTTGACTCCTGTTTTCAAGACAGGGCTGTTTGATTTGGAACACTGCATTGAAGTCTGTGCTACTGATTGATTTCAGGTTTATTATATTTTCCCCTTTGAAACATGCTACAGTAAAAAAACCCACTTTGTCGTTTTTCATGTAACCCCCCCCCTCCTTTTTTTTTTTTCAATCTTAGCAAATGCTCAGTCTTTTCCACTTCAATAGCCTGAAATTCTCCCCTGGGAGCCCTAAGCTCTTTAAATATTTTTACGTTGCCAGATTTCTTATGTTCTCTCTCCAGGAAGCCAATTTTGTTTCTAAGCTCTTGAGAGTAGTCCAGCTTCATCTTTTGCGCACTCACTGCATCACAATAAAATGCTGCCTAATTGCTGCCTCAGCTGAGTCCCAAAGGTGCTGGAGTTTGTCTCTAGGCTACAGTTGTAGACAATAAACTCTTCTCAGACTGAAGTTAAGCCTTTTTATTATTTAAATCTGAGTCATGTAAAATTAGTTTACTAGCAAGTTACCCACAAAGATCTAGTATAGAAAGAAACTCCCTCATATTGTTTTCCAACACAATGAGAGAATGATCAGATATACAGATTTGCAAGTGGCTTGTAATACAAGATGTACATAGGAAGACCAACATTTAATTTAGCCAAAAAGACATGAGAATGTTTCTGTGAGCCTAGAAGTTACTCTCAGGCCTCGTCTGTTTGGTGTTCTTTACCTTCAAACTGAAACTGGTGGTATGAAAAACACAGCAACTTTCCTCTAGCTTATCCATAGCCTGAAATACCTATGAAAGAGGAAAAGCAGTTGAAGATAACAAATGCCAGATGTGCAAAAGCTTTCTGTTCTCAGTCTAGCACAACAGTGAGAGGACTTAGTAAGCATTTTGCTAGAAAATAAGCGAGAATATACTAAAACTGGATGGCTGCACCCCCATCAAGCTTGAGAAGACCCGTGCAGCAAGGGACAAATGGACAATACAGGGAGTGAGAATGAACACAAACTCTTTCTCTCATCAGCACCATATTCAGCTATCCTCAACAGCAGAAGCAGACATCCATACATGGCATTTTCTCCCTTTGTGTTCCTTTTCTGTAATCTGTATTTTAAACTGCTTATATTTCTGTGGTACAATATGGCTTCTGATGAAAGTGCATACTCCACGGACATTACAGTAAAAAGACTTATTGATCATTCTTTTAAGACTCTAATTTCTTTGGGTGCATCTGGTGCTGTGTGCCCAAATCCACAGTGTTAACTAAGTAAAAATGAAGCTGGAAGAGGCTGCTAGATTGTCTCAAAATGGTTAGACTGTCCTTTAATTAAAAAGGTCAGACATGATAGCAGAGACTTGACATAGTCTTTGTGGTGGTGTCTCTGGTTGCACACTTGCAACCTGGGACACTCATAAGCAAGGACAGATGATCCAAATGGCTCTTCGTGTATGGCTCCTTTTGTCAGCACAGAGTGGATGCAGGCAGATGCATCAATCTGCAGTAACTGCAAGGAGATTGCTAACCACACACCACACACTCACTGTGCAGACCTCCTCCTGTTGCTGGGGTCTCTCATTCCTCATTTATATTTGCCTTGATCATTTACTGAGAGCGAAATGGCAGACATGGTGTGGACCGCAGAACCTTCATTACTAATGGTGATGCAGAAGACAGGAAGGATGCACAGGTCTGAAGTCGATTTTGGCAGGCAGCAGCTAGAAAAGCTAGGACACAATTTCAGCCTTATTCAGATCAATGGGAATTTTGCCACTGATGTCAGTGGGATGAAGATTTCGCTCCATGTCTGCTTGTAATCTGAGAACATGTATTCTGCAAGTCCAGGAGACACAGTGAAAACGGGACCCCACAGAGTTCATCTCAGATTCACTGCAGAAATAAAACTACATGGATTCTTTGTGCCCCTCAGTTATCTGTAAAACAAGTATGATAATGCTTTGAGTGCTAAACAATACAAGGTGTGTAGGAAGACACAGTATCTTTTATTAGGCCAACTGAAATAGTTGGGGAAAAACAGACAAGCTTTCAGGCTTGTCTGAAATGCTTTGAGATGCTCTGATGAAAGGTTTTTGAGCTGTGCAAGTGATCATTAAATTACATTCTTCCTCTCTCTGGAAATCATTTAGTGATATTTCAAAGGAAAGATACTGTACAGAAATAACTGATTTCTATTGCAAGTGCTGTCTGGAGCTAAATATCTTCTTTCCTCTCTCTTTATGAACTAATCTAAAGAAAATATGTTTTAAATTAGCATGTTAAGAACAATTTTGTGGTATAATATATAGTTCTGTGAAGTGTTCTGTGTTAAGCATAACCACAAGATCCTTAAACATATTTCAGTACACTAAAAAAAATGGCTGGATTTCTGTTTAATGCTTTGTGAAAATTATGAAGTTATCACTGTGAAGAAATTAGAAAGCATAGAACGGCAATGAAATTGGCAAGTAAAGAAAAAAAAAAGGCAGATATGAGTAAAAAACTACATTACACTTGTAAACATTGGCTAATGAGCCCCCAGACTATTACAATTGAGTGTGGACATCATGCATTCAAAAGCTGTGAACCAGTTAGTATGCATAAAAGAATGACAGAAACAATCAAACTTAACCCTCTCCAGGAAAGACTAAATGAGCTGGGAATGCTCACTTGAAATTAGACAGGGGTGAGAGATCAACACCATTATGGTATCACAGCTGTGAGTGCAGCAAGATATATCATTGCCATCATGGAGTCAGTGGACCACTGTGGGCCATGAATGGGTAGGTGAGGGAAGGTTCAACTCTACATAAATCCTACTAGTACCACTTTACTAGTACTTTAGTTCAGTGTCAAGACATAAATGATGTCACGAACAGAGAAAACTGGGGGCAGAGGAATCTTTAAATATGTGAAAAGTACTTGCAAAGAAGGATGA